ACTTTTTCACAGCAAGACTTCTCCAATGGAGGAAGCAGTGCTATAATTTACACGCTAGCATCTCCTTGTTGAGACCGGAACTTTGGGAGGTGAGTGTTTGTATTTAAAACCGAGTGATCAACAGTTTAAAAGGATATTTTTAAAGCGTCAAGGTAGGCCTCACAGCGGTGACAACTGAACACATCTGGACATAGGCCATGGCCAACATGTCCTGATCTGAATGTAAAGATTTCTACTCAAGACACTGTTTGCAGTGATGTCTGGGAAGCTGGTAGTCCTAAAAGTTCATTATCTCATGAAACAGAATTGCCTGAATTTTTGTTGTTGTTGAGACAGGGTCTTGCTCTGTCGCCCCAGCTGGAGTGTAGTGCTGTGTTCGTAGCTCACTGCAGCCTCAAACTCCTGAGCTGCAGTGATCCTCCTGCCTCAGCCTCCCAAAGTGCTGGGATTACAGCACTGTGACCCACTGCACCGAGTCAGACTTTCCCTCATTTGATTTCATAGGCTCTATTTGCATGGACTGGTTTCGACTACCAATATCTCAATCAATTTTAAAAAACAGTCATTAAATACAAAAAGAAGCCCTTAGCGAACTAGACCACCGTTAGGGAATAACGAGAGTGTGATTGAAGCTAGAAGACACTGTACTGAAGGTGGTTTGTACTCAACAAACTCTGATACCAACAGAGCAGAGATCTGAACTTTCTGGTTACAGATCTTTGTTGAGACTCTAAAGGAAATGACTCCTCGTCCCAGAAAAGCACCTGTGCACAACATGCTCACCCCTTTTCAGGGGTCTCTGGGCCCCAGGATGGGACCCCTTCCTGTGAACACATGCTGCTCCTGCACACGGCTCCACCTTTTCTGCATTCCCAGACTGCTTCTACTTCCACTGACAAAGACAGAGACGACGAGTCCAAGAGTTAAAAACGGAAATGTCGAGCTTTTTCTGACAAGATTGGGAAGTGGGTCGGTGCCAGGCTTGGCACTCCTTCCCTGGGGTCCTAAGCACAGCACAAGCCCAGCACTCCCTGGGTTCATTCTGTGGCCAAGGCTACACGGGTCCCTGTACCTTATGGCTCCACCAGGACACAGAGGTGACAACGTAACGCCCAGTAGGGTCCCACTCGACGTCAGAGGCCATATAGTGCTCTGCAATGTTCATGACCGTGCAGTCCGAAGTGTCCACAAACGCTAAGGCACCGTTCATACTGCAGAGACAAACCCAACAGTCTTCACAGAGACGCACGTCTCCCCCGACACCCCACCCTGCGAGAGGCACTGTGCTGTGAGGTCCCGAGGGAGATGCCTTGTGGTCTCAGGTGTCACCCAAGCTCTGCCTCAGCGTTCTCTTCGTTAACATGGAAATAATCATGGCAATAATTTCATAAGGCTATTGTGAAGATTTATCCAATTATGACACAATGACTACCACGTGTGTCTGCTACTCCTGTTCTTCTGACAGGAAACATTAAGAGGCTAAATAAGCCATCAAAAACATAGTATCAGGAGTCCACAATGAAGCAGGGGAAATTTAAAAAAAGGATACTTTCCTAACTCCAAGGCAGATGCTGTAAGTTTTTTCACAATTCCTACACGTTCTGTTGGAATGGCCACAGAGCAGGGGTGCAAGGGAAGGCCGAGTTTACGTTCTCATCATTATTACACCACAGTAAGGAAGTCTCACAGCTGTCTAATTAAGTATTTTTCCTGCTAGAAGACATGGGATTGATTTTACATGAGGGTAACTGGATTGCTGGAAAGCTACTTGGTTAACCACAAAGGAATTACAACACGCAGACATGTCTGCTTGGTCACAATCGGCCTGTCCTGGCCTAAGTCTTGGGAGTATGATGGATACACTAGGGTATGACAATGTCCCGTCTATGGATGCTGGGATGATCCCTTCAACTCAGGAATACTCTCCCTACCAAGCTACCAAGAGTCTGGAGGAAGAGCAATGCTTGACCGTTCAGAGCAAAGCATGAGACACGGGCTCCAGGGCCAGGACTCCACTGCAGCAGGCAGAGAGCCTCTCACGGCCCAGACGGCAGAAACCTACCTCCTCAGACCGGCCAGCACAACAAACTGCCCCTGGGGGCTCCAGAAGATGGTGTTTGCTTGCTGCTTATCGAACATTCCTGGAAGAAAGGAAAGCGTCCATGACTTGTCTTTGTAAATGGCTCTACAGTCAAGGTGGAGCCAAGACTGAAGGACGTGGCAACAGGTCCACACAGGCCCTACAGGTAGATCTGAAAACAGACTCTGAAAATAATTTTAGAAAACCCACCAGTAAGTGCACCGTAAGTTATGACCCATACTTAAAATAAAAAAGGAAAAAAGGAGCAGGGGTTATTTTTAGAACTGTGATAGTATTTTTTTTATTTCACAAGGTAATTGGAAGAAGAATTCCCTTTACAGTAATCCCTGCAGTGACTCAGGGAGAGGACTGTCAGATATGTGACCCCAGAAGAGCCACTATCCTAGCGACACAAACGTTTTTGTAAGTCACATGTGCTCATAAGAACTTACGTTCTGAAGGGACCCTGGACAGAGCAACTGGACAGGTATCTCAGCCCTCCCTGCGTTCCAGACAGTTAACCTGGGGGGGTCCTTCTCAGCCGCAGTAGCTACAAAGCATGGGGCCGACTGGGAGAGGGGAAGACGTGGGAAGGCAGATTTCACCCTGGTGGGGGCAGGTTTTCCAAACTTGCCCCATGAAAACATACATAAGCACACAGCCCCAACAGCCACAGAGACAGGATAACCCCAGCGTCCACAAAGGTGTGTTCCACAAAATATTCAGAAGGCAGAGGTACTTTTACTTACTATCCATTTTATGACCTATATTATAAACGGGATACGAGTCTGTAACTGCTCATATTTTTATATCAGGGAATTAATAATGCAACCAATTCTGTGATATAGCCAACTGATTCTACCACAACAACTGCTAACTAAGCTCTAGCAAAGTGAAACTGAATTCTTTACTGAATTATCTTGTGAAAATGTGTTGCTGAGGCACACAAATCCCTCAGGCACTGGGATAGACCACGGCTATGTGAGCCGGGCTACGGTGGCCAGTCCTGTGTGAAGGACCAGCAGCATGTGGAACATGGCATGAGACTACGTACAGCTGCCACACGGACAACCAAAATGCTTACGAAGCAGCAACAACGTTCACTCAGTCCCACTGCACCCGCCAGTCTGTACCATGGGCAGGACACAAGGACAAAAGAGTGAGAACAAAGTCCTCAGGGAGCCTGCCTGGGCAAGGAGTGAGGACAAGCATTGCTGTGAGAGGGGAGGGCCCCTGGGCCAGCCTGAGAATGAAAGCGAGCCCCTCCGGGGAGGTGGAGCGTGGCTGGGCCTCAGCGCCCACTCACTCCTGGAAGCAGGGCGGCCAGGGCAGCGCACACCACATGCCACAGCTCTGCAGCACACCTGGCAGGCAGGTCACAGGGACACGATCCAGACTGAGGGGTGGGGCACAGGCCCACAAAGAAGTGAACCTGAGGCCCAGAGACAGCAGCAACAAGCACAAGATAAAAGACTTCCACTCAAAACAAGGGCACAGAATGGCAGTCTTAGAAACATAAACTTAAATTAAGGGCCCAGTGGGAGCTAGAGGGAGCCTGAGTCCTTTGTGAGGTGAAACGCTCCCTCAGGAGTCTTCACCATCCTCATCACCACTCGGCTGTGTCACTTATGCCCGGGGGGATTTGCTTACACATGAATTCAGGCCTGACCAGGGGGTGTTCCAAGGTCAATCCTACAGTTGCTGTTGGGCAGTGACCATGTCCTGTCATCTATGCTGACTTGTTAAAGAGAGAAGGGCCAGATGACTTACTGATAAGCTCGATCTTCCCATTGTTTTTGACATGGTAGAAAGACACAGATATCCGCGGAGCCTCTCCATGTAGCACAGCAAACTTACTCCCATTTGGCTCCCAGGCAAAGGCTATGATGGTTTCTATAATCAATAAGAGAGTTAGCTCCCTGTCTGGTCGGTCATGAATAAAACATTCCTGATCAATTAATATGTTCACTATTTAACCAGAGAAATGCTTCCATAATATTTCAAATTCATTAAAAAGGACCACAGACCAACCAACAGCAAAAAAGGGCACACATTACTAGTTTCAAAAGCAGCCTATTCCACTTGTGTGAGATGCCGCATGTGGAACTCTGTTCTTGGCAGACCAGGACTCTCTGCTTCCTGAGTCACACCACAGAGGAGCTATGGTGAGCCCGAGGTCTGTGCAGCCTGTGGACACCCCCCTTCCTACACTCAACATTGCAGCTACAGTAGGATCCTGTGACCTCCTCAAAGGTGCGTCCTCTCTTTCTACCGTGATAGGGTGCCCAAGTCCCACCCTTTCTCCCCTCTCTACTTCCCCTTCTCCTTCTCTTCATGGCAAAACATAAAACAAAAAGCCTAACAAACAAAAAATAGGCAGAAACACAGCACTGAACAGTTTTCAGGAGTCAAAACGACTAGTCTTGAGCAAGTAAAGTGAAACTAGCTTTGTAAAATATAACGAATGTATTTTTCCACTAAAAAGAAAAATCAATACTGCACACAGCAAGTAACGCGTTCAGGAACGACCAAAACAAATAAACATATATTCTTAGAAGTTTTTAAAAAAAAGCTCCATTACACTGAGAACATCTGTTCTGTGAGATGAACCACGCTTTTGCTGCCTGCCCCTGAACATGGAGTGAAAACCTGTTCCTCATAAATTCTCTTGAGTGTGGAAAATGACTAGACCTCGCTTCTCGGCTAGAGATCACAAAGGTGTCGGGGTGGGGGAAAGTGGGGCATCTCCAATTAGCAGTTGGAAAGATTAAGATATTGTTAGAAAGTATAAAGAAAATCCTAAATTTATAAACATGTTCTGTTATTTAGAGATGTTGTTCATGGTGAGAGCTCAGAGTCTTAGCCATGTTACTCAGGCAATCGATTCAGACTAAAGTTTTGAAAACCAAGTGCAAAACAGCACATAAGGCCCATTCAACTATAAAAGGACTAAAAGAAAACTTGCCTTTCATTTCAACCACATCGACAGGTACCTGTTTTTCCCTCATTCGGAAAATTTCAAAATTTGTTACAACACCCTGTTTTAAAAAAAAAAAAAGGAAAGGGGTGACATTCTGAACATTGAAAGTAGGAGAAGGCGGCTTAAATCAAAGGACATCTTAATAATTTAATAAAAGATTAATTTTGTATACCCATTAAACACACACAGACATTTGGAGTGATTAAGATCAAGTACTCTGGCCGGGCGCGGTGGCTCACGCCTGTAATCCTAGCACTCTGGGAGGCAGAGGCGGGCGGATTGTTTGAGCTCAGGAGTTCGAAACCAGCCCGAGCAAGAGCGAGACCCCGTCTCTACTAAAAATAGAAAGAAATTAATCGGACAACTAAAAATATATAGAAAAAAAAAATTAGCCGGGCATGGTGGCGCATGTCTGTAGTCCCAGCTACTCGGGAGGCTGAGGCAGAAGGATCACTTGAGCCCAGGAGTTTGAGGTTACTGTGAGCTAGGCTGACGCCACGGCACTCACTCTAGCCCGGGCAAAAGAGTGAGACTCTGCCTCAAAAAAAAAAAAAAAAAAAGATCAAGTACTCCAATGCTGGTAGAGATGTGGACCGGCACAATCTCCACAGGGGACCATCTGAAGATGCCACTGTGTTCACTCTGATCCAGGCCCTACTCAGGCAACCGCCCCAACGGTTATGCTCATGGACAAACGAGTCCAGGGGTCCTCACTGCAGCTTATGGGCCAAAGTTCTCAAGTGCCCTAAAGGTCCACCAATAGGGACTAGGAAACTATCTCGATGCAGTGCAACATCCCGCAGCCGTATCTTCCCGAAGTACTCGTGCCAAAATTCAGGTGCTGCACTGCTCACAGCAGCTGAAAGGTGGAAACGACCCAAATGTCCGTCAATGGATGAATGGATAAACTGTGCTCTATCCATACCACAATGTTATTCAGCCTTAAAAAGGAAGTTCTGACACCTGCTACAACACAGATGAACTGTGAAAATAAAATGCTCAGTGAAAGAAGCCAAACACAGAAGGCCACATCCTATGTACCTCCACCTATATGAAATGTCCAGAAAGGGACATCCAGAGAAAGAAATCGGTGGGTATAAGGAGCTAGGGGCTGGGATGCAGGGAGTGACTGCTAACAGGTGTGGTGTTTCCTTGTAGGCTGATGAGAACATTCTGAAATTAGCAGTGGTGGTTGTACAACTTTGTGAATATACTAAAAGCTGCTAAGCTTTAAAAGGGTGAGAATTATATTTGCATAAAAAATTTTTAATGTAAGGAGAAGAGGAATATTTCCATTAGAAGGAAAACTTAGGCAATTTTTTGATACGGTAAATATTAAATGATACAATCAAAAAAAGTCTAGATGCAGGCAGAACTGTGTAGAGTATGCTTTTTGTGCTTAGAAAGAAAATAATATACTCATTTAACTACCAATATAGAAGCTGGATGTATGGAGATTTTACTGTATTCCCTTGTGAACTCTAAATGTACATTATCAAAAGTTTTACTAAAAAAGAAATAAAAGATCCTCGCTAAGACTTGTCAGCTGTATCAGGTAGGTCTCAAAATAACCCACAAACTTGAACCAAAAAAAATCCACTAACATCCTTTAAAAAATATGGTAGCTACTTTAGAGCTAAGGATAAGGAATATAACGTATTCCCACTGGCATCTACTTACCTGGGTACCTTTTGGAGTCCTATCTACTTTAACACACAAGTAATCTCCATTCTTTTGCCAGTGTAGCTTGCAGTCCACAACGTTAAACAGATTCCTAACTCGGATCTCTTGTCTGCTAGGGAGCTGCATCAGGGTTACCCTGGCTGGAATATCTTTGTCTTCAGGCACCCAAAAGGCTATTATGTTACCACCAGGAGACCAAGAAAAGTCTCTGCAGAACAAAGAAAATAAAATGTTATGCAAAGACTAAGTGATCATAAATTTTAATATTGAAAAGCAAAAGAGAACCAAAAAACTCATTTGCTGAATAAAAGCTCAATACTGGTGCACTAACCACCACTAATGGTGGCAGTGCTGACGTTACTGAAAGCTCGCTCTGCGCGACCCCCCTGTTCTAGGCACTTGATGATGTGCAGCTTTGCTTGTCCTCGTCACACCCTGGCACTACTGCACTCACCCTGACAGTGAGTAAATAGAGACAAGAGATGCTGACAATCCCACCCACTGTTAATATCAGCATAGTAGATCCAGTTACATGATATCTAAAGATTAGTCAAGGTGCAAAAGTGGGGAAACCACAAATCAAAAAGTGTAAGGAATGAGAAGAATTCACGTCAAGCCCTCTACCATGTTCACTGCTCTACAGGACAGCTGCTGCAATGGTGAGTCCATACGAGAGAAATGGCTTTACACGTGCTACCTTCTCTTTGCTGTGCATTTACTGGGAACCAACATCCTGGTTTTATTTTTAATTATAAGCCATAATTTTGTGCAAGAATGTAAGAATAAAAGGAGCAAGAAATGCCAACATCCTTGGACTGCTGGCAGTTCACTGCCATGGTATCAACCGTCTCTGAGAGCTTTCAGATAGAGATGTGCCCATTCTCCCTTGACAGTGTAAATGAGCTATAATTCACTGAAGACCACCCAAATCCTACCTCATAGACCACAAGTGACAGAGAAACCGTTCAACTAAGTGAAGGCTCCCCAACCTCCTTAAAAGGCTGGAAACACCCCACTCATCCGGTTTCTAGTTCAAAGATGAGATACATGAAATGAAGCAGACCCCAGACTCATTCATGTGTCCAGGAAAGGGGAGACACTGAGAAGGCTGAGAGGCCCACTACTAAGCAGCCTGGTCAGCAGCTGGTGTGGGCCTCCTGTGCCACCCTTTCTGTTCAGAACAAGCATGCACTGCTCATCCCAAATGTTTAATAACTGAGTGCTAAAAGAGGGGGAGCAAATAAAGAAAACCAACTTCAATGGACAGTGTTTGTGTTTCCCCCAAATTCATATACTGAAATTCTAACCCCCGAGACGATGGCATTAGGTAAGGCCTTCAGAAGTGATCGGGTCATAAGGGTGGAGCCTCATGAATGAGATTAGTGCCCTGATAAAAGAGGCCGCAGGCCAGGCATGGTGGCTTACAGTATAATCCCAGCACTTTGGGAGGCCAAGGCAGGAGGACTGCTTGAGGCCAGGAGTTTGAGAACAGCCTAAGCAACATAGTGGACCCTGTCTCTGCAAAAAATAAAAAAAGTTAGCTGAGCATGGTGGTGCATAACTGCAGTTCTACCTACTGGAAGGCTGAGACAGGATTGCTTGAGCCCAAGAGCTTGAGGCTTGATAGCATCACTGCACTCCAGCCTGGGTGACAGAGCAAGATCCTGTCTCTCAAAAAAAAAAAGGCCAGGCATGGTGGCTCACGCCTGTAATCCCAGCACTCTGGGAGGCCGAGTGGGCGGATCATTTGAGCTCAGGAGTTCGAGACCAGCCTGACCAAGACCAGCCTGAGCAAGAGCGAGACCCCGTCTCTACTAAAAAATAGAAAGAAATTAGCCAGACAACTAAAAATATATACAAAAAATTAGCTGGGCATGGTGGCGCATGCCTGTAGTCCCAGCTGCTTGGGAGGCTGAGGCAGGAGGATCACCTGAGCCCAGGAGTTTGAGGTTGCTGTGAGTTAGGCTGACACCACGGCACTCTAGCCTGGGCAACAGAGTAAGACTCTGTCTCAAAAAAAAAAAAAAACAAAAAAAAAGTCCCAGAAAGATCCCTCACCCTTTCCACCAGGGGAGGTTAGAATAAGAAGCTGGCTGTCTATGTGGAAATAGGCTCTCACTAGACACCAGATCTGTAGGCATCTTGGACTCTGGGACTCAGGAACTGGGAGAAATAAATTTCTGTTGTTATAAGCTACCCCATCTATGGTGTTTTGTTAAGCAGCCTGAACACAGAGATACTGACTTGATGAGAACACTCACTTTATTCCAGAGATCTTCAAACTCTTCTTGTCCAAAAGACCCATAGACTGCCCAAAAAACACAAGGGTTACAGCTGAATTGAACCATGCCAATGTCTTGACAACACATACAGTTTTTTTAAAAAGGACACAACAGACTCCAATGTGAGTATGTCTAGGGAGCAGCATAAGCACAGAGCAAACAACTCACCCACAGCTGAGAAACCCAGTGCTAAAGCCCCTTTCATCAACTCCCACCCTGAATTCCCTGTGGCTGCAAGGGTGGGGCAGGTATGACTCAAGAGCACAATTCAGAATATGAAAACTTAAAACAGCACAAGAAACGGGCCTTTACCCATGCATATATTAAAGCTCTGCCTCCTTTTAACTCTCCCATAAATTAAGGAAAAGTACTATACCCTTAAGCAAAATTACTGAAGACTACAAGCAAATGACAGGATAGTGTGTTTTTAGTTAGTTAAAATCACTTACAGGAGTTTCATAGATGCTAAGGGTATCAAGTGTCATTCTGGCAAAGAATTTACCATCATGGCTCCACCTAAGAAGAAAAAAGAAATGCCAGGCTATTTCAATTAAAAAATAAAAGGCTACAGGAGGTCACTGCACTGGTCTACTTACTTAAAAATAGGCCAATGGGCTGAGCTTTCACAGTGAAAACCTCTCTTCTTGTGCCCAGTAAGGATGTCCCAGATGATTATGGCTTGAGGGTCATCCTGAGTGTCCATTAGGGGGCTAAAAGTCACCAGGTATCTACAAGAGAAAGGGGAACACGTTGTGTAGCATCTCTTCCCATGTGAGAAGCACAACTCCACATGCGCGAGTCTCTGCCCTACTCTACAGGAGAGGAGGCTCGGCTTCGGCTCAGATAGCTTCAGGTGGGCACAGGCACAGGATACTGCCAGGAAAAGCAGTCAGGACTCCTGGAACCAGCACTTTCTCCAAACACAATTCCCCAAGAATGCTCATCAATGGGCAAGGTCCCAGGAGATCCCACTGGGAAGTTCGGAGAAAACCAGCACTTCCATGGCCTGAAGCACTCATTCACTCTTGGCATCGGGGTGCTGCCAGAGTCACAATTTTGTCACCAAGATCAGCACACAGAAAGATCAAATGGATCCCAAGCAAAAGTCTGCTGAGTGGCCAGAGGGCAGAACCGTGTGGAATTCTCACTCTACCTTCCCCCATGTTTAATTAAGACTAACAAGGTAAAGAGAGCAGATGGTCACACATGACTCAAGTGTAAGTCTGACAAGAAACATCTGTGCTTGGGGGCTCCTCCCAGCAATTGTTTACATACCTGACTGCTGTCCTGTCTAAAGCCATAGCACCTGTTCCCTTAGTTCACATGAAGTGTGAATATCCTAACCCAGACTGCCCTCTTAGAACAATGGGAGGTAAGAATGCAGAAACAAATACAGTGCCTTCAATGACTGCCTCTTTTCCTAGTAGGATCTGACATCCTGATTAGCTAGATTAAAAATGATGGCTTGTGTCACCGCCACCCAGAAGGTACTACTAGAGAAACGTTTGATTAAGTGGTAACTGCAGAAGAGATTTTTCACGCTGCAATTTACATAACCAAAGCATTCATTCATCCATCCATTCAAGCATTTCACGTGTCAGGCATTTTGCAAAGCACCAGGGACGAAGTAATGAATGACAATCCAGTCTCTGTTCTTGATGTGTAAACAGATACATCCTAATTTAATGTGGCAAGTGTAGCAACCTAAACAATGTCTATGGGAAAACAGGTGGAACTAATTGCCTGAAGGCTTCACAGGCAATAAAGAAACACATAAAACTTCATACACCTGAATGTTACCTCGGCACCGAGATCTGGCTAAGAGTCTCTTTGTGAACCCAATTTTAACATACTGCTGCTGAAATGAGAAATATGAATTATTTTGTACCAAAAATACGCAAAATGCCTGGGAATTAACGGGTACTCTAAGAATACACTACATAAAAACTATTTATCAAAATTAAGAAATGTCCGTAAGATAGAACTTACGGTTTACAGGAAATACACGGATTAGAGGAACTAGTTAAATGATACCTCGAGGAATCAGACAAATCTAGAAGGTGAAACAGTTTACAGAACATCTGGTCCTTCTTAACAAGTCAATATGAAAACAAGACAAAAGAGGCTTAAGACACAACTACTAAGCACTTATACCCTTGCTTGGATCCAGGTTTGAACAAAGCAGCCGTGAAACCTGAATATGGGTCAGCATGTTAGATGTCACTAAGGTTGTAAGACATGCAGTTAGGTGTGATAAATTGTGACTATGCAGGAAGACACTTTTATTTTGTAGCAATGCATACTTTTATAGAGATGTCTATCATTTACTTGAAAATATTTAAAGCAAACGTGGCCAAACAAGAAATCATTAACTGTAGGTAATTAGCGCATGGATTTTACCATAGTATTCCCTTTCATTTCTGTGTATGAGAACATTCGTATACTAAAAAGTTCAAGAGAAAAACAGGCACAGCATTAATGGGAGTAGCACCAGGACAGAGGGGGCCCCACAATAAAGCAAGACCACACAGCAACACGCTGGAGGACAGACAGGGCTGAGACTGGAGTTGCTGGAAACCCACGAAGGTCAGAGGTGACCCCCGGCAGAGAGAGGGCATCCCAGGCAGCGAGCACAGAGCACACACAGGAAGGCAGCCCCATGCCTGGGTGGGGCCTCCTCCAAGCTTTCCACACACTCATCTTCTCACACAAACCTCTGCCACATGGATTAAGACACAAGAAAAAAGCCTTCATAAGAAAAATTATCTGCCAAACATGTGACCTTGGACTAGATCCAGAACTGAAGGAAAATAAATATTACACAGGACATTACTAGATCAAGTAATAAAGTTAGAATAGGGTAATACCTCAAATAAAATATTAAATCAATGTTGAATTTCCTTAAGTTGGTGACTACACTGCGCTTATACTAAGAGAATCCTATTCCTAGGAATATACATTTACCCCTAAAGGGACTTGATACTCCAACTTACTCCCAAATTGCTCAGGAAAAAAATTTATGTACATATATTTGGAGAGAGGAAATGATAAAGCAAATGCAACAAAACGTTAACTGGAGAATCTGAGTAAAAAGTATATAGTGTAAGCTTCATTATAGAACCAGCAAAGAAAAAAAAAGTATACAGGAGTTCTTTGTGCTCCTCTGCAATTTTTTCATTTAATTTGAAATTACCGCAAAATACAAAGTTTTAAAAAATTATCTGTAGAAGACTGGCATGAGGTGAAAAGAAAGACTCCGTTTGCATTTTTCCAATAGCTTACCTTTCACAAGGTGAGAAATCAATGAGCTGAACCCCTTGGTGGCTGAATCTCTGGATTTGCTTGAATTTCTCTCCCCCCCAAAGAGCAATGCCTCTTTGATGAAAGGTAGCTAGGTAGGTGCCCTTAGGAGACCAACGTACATATGTCTCTGTCCATCTCTGCAGAAAAAGGTAGTGCCAACATTAATACAATAACAAAAAGCCAAACACCAAGACCTCTCCCATAATGAAGCTATTCCTTAAGCTCTTAACTGAAACACCTAAGAAGGCTATTCACTTCTCATGACTTATTTCAAAGCCAGATGAATAAAAGATATTCTCAAAGTAATCTCAAAGAAAATGAAACTTCACCTGCTCTTCATCAGTTTCTGATGGAAACAAAGTTCCACTGTGTTAAGAAAATACAGAGAGGTGAGTCCCCCCGCCACAACAGCAGATACACACCGCTCTTTCTTCAATTGAGACCGGGTCCTTCACATCATTCCAGAATATGGAAGTGCGGTCTCCACTCTCAAAAATCACACTGTATTGATCTCTGCATTCTGCCTCTTCAAGCCAGTAACGTAAATTCCCCTTTAAAAAAAAAAAAACAGGGATATAGTAAAATTTCATTAATTGTAATCAAAGAAAGCTCATCACTACTATTGCTCTTAAAGATACAACAAATTCAGTCAACACCTTAACTCCCTTCAAGGAAGTCATAACCCCATGTCAAGACATCCAGCATTTCTTTTTTTTTGAGTCAGTCTCACTCTGTTGCCCAGGCTACTGCTGTGGCATCAGTCTAGCTCATGGCAATCTCAAACTCCTGGTCTCAAGCGATGCTCCTGCTTCCGCCTCCCAAGTAGCTGGGACTACCAGGAGGTACTACCACGCACAGCTAATTTTTTCTATTTTTAGTAGAGACAGGGTCTCACTCTTGCTCAGATTGGTCTCAAACTCCTGATCTCAAGCAATCCTTCCACCTCGGCCTTCCAGAGTGCTAGGATTACAAGTGTGAGCCACCACACCCAGCCCTAGCATTTCTTTTGATGCAGATTTAATACAACTCACCAGGTCTTTGAAAGGCTGCTTCTCTGGAATATCCCATTCATCACTAATCGTCATATATCTAGAAAACAAAAACTACTGAGTAATATATACCTTAATGACTAGACAAGGGGTAGCGGTTGGTGGTCCAACCACAGGCATTGCCTCACTGCTCCCTGTCCACCCCAAATAAAGTATGGGAAAAACATGAGTTTTGATTGGCATAATAACTGGTGAAGGGTGCTCCTGCCAGAAGTGTGCAGCAGGGATGTGACATGGCCCTGCGGTGGTCTGCAGGGATGTGAACAATCTGAAAGGCCACCAGCACCTGCTGAGAAGTGCCAAGTCACCCAGTTGCAGGCCAGTCACTCACGTGTCAATGTCTGCTTTCTCATGGCCAAGTCTGAACTCACTTGTCAAAATCTGTGAAGAGGTTGACCCGGAACGTGTGCTGCTTGTCAAGCTTGTAGCCATCAGCATTTTTCACAGCATCCACGGCATGGGCAGGAGATGCATATTCTAAGAAAATATACCTGAAGGGAGGAAGGGCCATTTGCACAAGTGCAGACTGCAAGATCTTCACACCCAGACCTCTCCACAGCAGCAAGTATCTGACTCATCTTACTGCCACTGCCCGAGGCAGTCAAATTGAGGACAGATCCATAGCCAAGAAAAAAGACAAGGTCTCACTCCTAAGCAAGGAGGAAGTCCTAACTGGAAGATCCGAAGTCTCTAGCTTTCACAATCATAAATTACATAAATGTTCGTCATTTTGATTGTGATGATTTTATGTCTGCACATGTCAAAACCTATCAAACTAGACACTTTAAAACCATGCAGGTTTATTGTATGCCACTTATCTCAATAAAGCTGTTAATCTACAAAAAAGTCTAATATTGTATATCATAAGCAAAATTACAAAGGATCTCAGAGGATGTTTTATTATAACTAAACGTATAACACAAGCAACTGCCGGTCAAAAAGAGGTTACCCCTCAACCTAGTTCCCAAAATAGAAAACGTCGGCAGCATTACTTACATTTGTTAATTTTCTAGAAACTATTCTACCTTAATTTAAAAAAACAAACTTTAATATCTTCTCATTCGTATAAAAGAAAGACTGTTTTGTCTATACTCAAAGGTAGGTATTTACATGATTTTTTTTTTTTTTTTTTAAAAGACAGGGTCTCATTTTGTAGCCCAGGCTGGATTGTAGTGGTATCATCACAGCTCACTGCAGCCTCAAACTCCTGGGCTCAAGCAATCCTCCCACCTCAGCCTCCCGAGTAGCTGGGGCAACAGGTGTGCACAACCATCCCTCACTAATTTTTTTAATTTTTTTTGGAGAGGTGGGGTCTCCCCTATATTGCCCAAGCTGGTCTAGATCTCCTAGCCTCAACTGATCCTCCAGCCTCAGCCCATCAAAGTGCTGGGATTACGGACATGAGCCACCATACCTGGCCTTTACATGAAATTTTACTGGAGAAAAGTCTGACAAGACTGTAGAACTTTCATCTACTAGTGGTAGGAGTATAAATTAGTAACAATCACTCAAGATCATAATATTTGATGAATGTAGTGGCAGCGAAGATGAGCATTTCATACAACTCAACAATTTCACTCCTAGGTATGTAACAAAGAAACTCTCACACTGTACGAAAGGAGACAGGAGACTGTTCCTCACAGCAAAACACTAAATGTCGACAGGAAAACAAATTATATGAGAATAGAATACAACAGCACTTAAGATGAAGGAATTAGAATCATGCTATCAACATGGAAAACCTAATACTGAACCAAAAAAAGTAAGCTGCATACCTTAGGCTACCATTATTTTTATAAGATGCACCATTAGCTAACACTAAGGAAAAGAGTTGCTAATTAAGCAGTGGCACGACGCTTTCACCTAGATTGTAGGAAGCACCCCCTTTTCAGCAACGTTAAGATGTGGGCAAAAAACCCCACATCAGAATCAAAATTCTGCACGCAAAATTTTCCTGATGTTCTGCCAGCTTCCAGAGCTATCAATGCCTATTCCTAGGTGTATCTTGTGTCAGCTACCATTCTGATGGCAGACTTCAACATCACGCTCTCATTTCTTAGCAGTCAGCGGCCAACTTGGAACCACACTGCAATTTCCTCCTCCCTCTGATGATTCCAGGACTAATCGTGGCTCCTGAGAGCTTCCAGCTGAGGGTGACCTGAACAGAACGGGGCCAAACTGCCATGGTAAGGCATGCGCTGCATTCACAGTGAGCTCCTGCCACACACGACATCATGCCGTGCCCAACGCCAAGAAAAATACAAATGAGACTTCAGTGATGGGAGAACATACTCACCCTTTTGTCTTCCCATCTTCTTCAGGATAAAAATCATTTGTGATTTTCCCAAACTTGGAAAAGATCTTGTGGATGACATTTTTGAGTTTCTCAAGCCGGTCAGGTCCCACCTGAGGAACATTGTCCACCACAATCACTGAATCGATTCCATCTGCTTCCTGGGGCCGATCTCTGAGCACATCTCCCAGTAAGTCTGCACAAGAGAGAGACCTGTTAAATGACCTTTTGTACCAAGAAAAACATTAATATGCTCAGCGCATTGAAAAATGTCCAAGAAGCAAAAAACAAATACACTAATCTAAATGCTTTCTCTGTGAACAAAGCCCTAGTTTGCTTCACAATTTAAACGTGAAAGAAGTGGGAAGACTTCAACTCCTCCCATTCATTCCCTTTGACTGAAAATGTAAACAGTCAAAATATCCACTGACTTCTGGCAATAATGGAAGATATGAAGAGAATTTAAAAAAAAAAACTTTAATAATGGAAAATGCAAGTAAAGAAGAAAATCAGAAGAATATCCAATACTAAGTCTTTCAGAGATCCCTAGATTTCAAAAACATCTAAGCAAAATTGCATCCCAATGCCAACTAAAACTTTTTACAGAAGGTTTTAACAAACAAGTAAATATTTAAGTTCTCAATACATTCATGGAACTTTTGTTTTAGTGAATACAAATTACTAGAACTTATTCAGGGAGGAAAGTATCTCTTTAGTGAATTGGGATAGAAAATAATAAAGAGGAAAAGAAACATGTCAAGACGACACACTTCTCCCACCCTCCTATTCCCAGGTATTTTCATATTTTTTCAGGAAGTGAATTAGATGGCCTTTCACAAAGGAATTGGGAAAAGAATCAAAGGGTTGGGGGGGTACTGCGTGGGGTAAGCTTTCCCTGATCTCTCTCTAGTGCAGACAGCCCACCGCCAAAACAACCCCTTATCCAATATTCTTTATGTAAAAAAGCTCTTAAGGATAAAACAAACTGTACTATAGGACAGAGGGAAAAACCAAAGTGTTTTTCCTCCTTTCACGCACTACTCAACATAACACTTGTAACTACCGAAAGGGGGTGGGGGGTTCCCCCACACCGAGCAGTTTTCCAGGGAACACCAGCTGGGTGTCCTATAACTCAGTTCAGACACTGCCTGGAACTGGTGTCAGAATCCACAGGTTGGAGGTCCTAGTCCCAAAAGAACAGCCCCACTTCAGACACCAGTCGCAAGCAGTAGGTTGTCACCTGTACTTCTGACCAGCAGGCTATGAACCAGGGCTTCACTATCCACTCCTCAGGGTTATGGAACTCATGAAGAGCCAGATGGAAGAGATGTGTAGGGCAAGTGCCCAGCACTCCATTCAGCTATCTGGAAGCCTGTCCTTTTGGGTTTTTAGAAGACTTCACTATGTGGCCGCGATTGATTATATCACTGGCCACTGGTATCATCTCAACCTTCAGCCCCTCTCCCTTTCTGACCCTCTAATCACACAGTTGGTCCCCCTGGCGAGGAGCCCCCAGCCACCAGTCATCTCTTTAGCCTACAAAAAGACACTAATCACTTTGGAGATTCCAAGGTTTTTAGGAGCTATGTGCCAGGAACCAGGGGCAGAGCCCAAATACATATTTCTTATATCACGACAGCCTTGTTGGAAGACAACATCAGGGAAAAGACAGGCATTCAAACTAGGAGACTGGATAACATACAAGGTCGTGAGTTTATTTTTTTAAGAGATGGGGTCCTGCTATGTTGCCCAAGCTGGTCTGGAACTCCTGGGCTCAAGCAATCCTCCTGTCTCAGCCTCCCAAAGTGTTGGGATTACAGGTGTGAGTGCCACACCTGAATTTAATTAGCAGTAATTTTTCTTTCTTGGTGGTACAATTCAACCAATGGTGTCTTTAATTCGATGAAATGCCTCAAGGGCTGTTAAAAGCCATCACATTTATAGACATTAAGTCTGTCAGTGCTCAGGACAGTGCCTGGAACAGTCAGCAATGTATTACTGTTATTTCCATAACTATACCCAAAAACTCAAAACATATTATACATTATGACATATATATATATGTCACCTTTTAAAACCCAAAACTTCAGTACTCAAACTTAAGATTGCTTTATTTGCATATGGTCAGCTGGGATAAAAAAGGAAGGACCAGTGTAAAATAGATTACAAAAAAGAAACACAAGAGCAACAAATACAAAGGGGTCCAGGAAAGCAGACCTGAGGCACTGGTGCTCCAGGCGACTCAATGTCATCTGGGGCTCCCCACCGCAATTTCACGTGAGGTTGTCCTAAGCCTCGAGACTTTTGCCATAAAGCTCCAGTGCCAATAAAAATACCTGACTACCTGCTGGAGATGGGCATATGGGAGGTAAAACTGAGTAACAGATGAAATAAAGCAAATCCCAACTTTCTGACATAAATTCTGTACAAATCCTAAACCCAATTATTTATCTTGCCTAGCAAGCTGTAAAATTACAAGGCACTGGGTTAGAGCTGGAACTGAAAGACATGAGTAAATACAGCCAAGATGAGATTACAAGGAAATTTTAAAACAAAAGCCAAAGAATGACTTGTTATACATGTATCTATTTGTTCTGGAACCTAATTATCACTCTAGAATTTCAGCATGCTAAATGTGACAGATGTCAGAAAACATTCTTTGCTACATATTATTCTCAAAACTTAAGGTGAGAGCCAGGTGCGGTGGGGCCTGCCTGTAGTCTCAGCTACTTGGGAGGGTTGCTTGAGCCAGGAGTTCAAGTCCAGCCTGGGCAACATAGTGAGACCCTGTCCCTGAAAAAAACAAAACAAAAAAAGTTAAGGTGAATTCTCTTTACTTTTGAATGTTCGAAATTTCCCATAATAAAAAGTTGAAAAGCACTTTCAAAATGGAAAAGAAACTCTAATTTCAAGAGGCAAGCCCTGTCATAAACAATTTTTGATTAATTCCAACACTTCCAGGAATAGTATTAAAAATGTTACCTTCAAAAATTGTCACTTAAATTTCAAAGATGCTAAAATTGAGACTAAGCAAAGAGGAAAAAAGCAAAAGAGGCAGTGAGGCAGATCACAGCAAAGTCAGACATCCTTGCTCCCGAAACTGTAGGCAATTCTTGGGCTACCTTTCAAGCATAGTTACCATGCAATTAAGTGGCCTGGTGAGCCTGATCTGAATTTACAAGGCTTATAATGAAAAGTTCAGCTTTTATACAAACGGTGGACTCCTTCCCACAAACTCAAAGTATCTAGTCTGTATGAATATGCCCACACCTAGGAGGGGAATAAATGAAGTAACCACACCATGAAGAGATACATCTCAATTATTAGCAGCCCAAGCACAGGGTACTCTTGGCTCATGGAATCCCAGTAAGTCTCCAGGAAATATAGAAGGAAGCAATTCTCAAAAACTAAATAGCAAATATAAAGAAAAAGCACATTTAATAAGCCAAAAAAGAAGACATTTAGTGTCAAAATCTTGATCACGCATCTGTGTTTTGCCAAACACCAAAGGCAGTTGAAACCTTAAACGATGATTACAGGTTAGGATGCTAACCTGTATCAAAGAATAAGGAGGCAAGACAAGAACTCCAGCCAGTCTCTGGAGGGCTAAGACTCAGTCCCTTTTGGAAAGAATGGACACACTGTCTCATGCTCTCCTTCCACAGCACACTCTGACCCTATAAGGTAGCCCTTTCTCATAAACACAAAGCCTACCTGAGCTACTAACCTCAAAAGCCAGGGGGCTGTAAGAAAACTGACAGCTTACTGAGTTTTAGTTCCTCAGGACCAGGTGCCTCAACTGTCATTCTGGCTAACACTGCACACCTAGGACCACACGGGCTCCCAAGGACCCACAGCAGTCACCCAGCCCGGCCAGCCTTGTGCTCATGTTAGCACCCTCTGACTGTTCCCAATTCTGGAATTAATTCACATGTTAGAAATATGTGAATTAGATGGGTTCAAATAATGTTTTTTTAAAAACTCAGGCCGGGAGCAGTGGCTCATGCCTGTAATCTTAGCACTCAGGGAGGCCAAGGCAGGAGGATTGCTTAAGTTCAGGAGTTTGAGACCAGCCTGAGCAAAAATGAGACACCGCCTCTACCGAAAAGAGAAAAATTAGCCGGGTGTGGTGGCACTCGCCTATAGTTCCAGCTACTTGGGAGGCTGAGGCAGGAGGATGGCTTGAGCCCAGAAGTTTGAGGTTGCTGTGAGCTAGGGTGACACCATGGCACTCTAGCCTGGGTGACAGAGAAAGACTGTCTCAAAAAACAAATAAAACCTCAATTGCAGAATAAATACCCAAGGGCTCAAAATGAGTGTTAAACCAAAATTTCCATTTTAAAATATAAGAAAAATTAGTGTGGTAAAAAGAACACTGATTTGGGCAGGAGTCTGGTGGGAGTTCTCGGCAACCGGCTCCAACTTAAGGGACACATTTCCTCAGGGGTGAGAGGCTTAGACTAGATGCTCCCAAAGTCATCACTAGTTGTGTTTTCCTGCTTTTCATGTTAAAAATGTCTTGTGTTTATGAAATAAAGCACAACATAACAATGGTCACAGTAACTGATAGCCCCTTAAAAATATGTTCAAATTAAAAGTTGACAACTCTAGTTGGTTCCCTAGATTTTCTTGGTGTATCACTGGCTACTTCTGTTAACGGTGTCTTTACTTTTCCCACTTTGGTATTAACTTAGTCAATATGCAGAGGAATTGGTTGATGGAGAGTTAAAATAGCTAAAAACAAATGAAACCAGTTACCACTAGACATCACTTTAGGAGAAAAACTCTCCCAGGCAGGAAGCAGAAATAATGTGTACAAATGCAAGCAAGGTAGAAACTAAGGCAAAGCGAGCTGTTATCAGCAACAAAAAAACTTTAAAAAAATAATCTGCCAACGGAAAGATGGTGGTCTGCCCTACAGACTTAGAAAAAAAAGGAGAACCAAACAGGAATTTGACAGCCTGGCACTGTCCCACTGGGGAAGTCTCTGGAGGCAGACACTTCTGTGGGGCAAGGGGACAAAGTCACCAGGCACTGCCACAACTTGTTCCTCCGATCCAGACCTTTGAGAGGTCTGGCTGGTCAGCGCTGGGGGCATGCAGACCCGCAAACCTGAGGCCTGGTCCTTGTTTTTGCTCTACCCCCAGCCACAGCGGAGTGCATCTGCCCTATATACCACTCTCCCAAATTTCTGGTTGCGATGCAAATGCAAGTGACTGCTCCCGAGCTAAGCTCCATCCTGCCCGCCCACTTTCTTTTTGGAAATAAAAAGGGAAGTGCCAGAACATCTCTGCTACACTCGGAAACAGCAGACAGAAAGTGGTGACCCCTCTCTCGGTGACTTCGAGGAACCCATGGACACCCCTGCTGGAACTTAGGCACGAACTGCACACAGCTAAACATCTGTTAAGTCCAGGGAACCTCAGCCACGCTCACACGCCGCTCGCTGACACCACCCTGGCCTTCCCTCACCTTCCTCGCTCACGTCGTCCACGAAGTCCTCGGGGTCGCTGAAGGAGGGCTCGTCCGCGTCACCGTTCTCCACCGCCCGAGGCTCCGCCTCCGCCGCGCTGCCCTCGTTCCTGCCCGTCTCCTCGGACGACGCCTGGGCCCGGCCGTCGGCGGGCTCGTCCCGGGCCTGCTCCCCCGAGGCCTCTCCATGCGTCAGGGATGGGGACTCGGCTTGCGACCCGGGCGGCTCCTCGAAGGAGGGCAGCAAGGACGACTCGGACGGGCCGGGAGCTGTCTCCCCCGCTGTCTCCACCCCGGCCGCCGGCTCGGCCCTTACATCGGGCTCCGGCTCGGCCTCTGCCACCTCCTCCTTAGCGCCCTCGGTCCCCGCCGCCTCCGGAGCGCCGGGCCCGGCGGGCCGCGGCAGCTCCTCCGGCGGCGGCTCGGCGGGAGGCTGCTGCTGGCCGGGCTCGGCCCGCTCCTCGGCCGCTTCGGGCACCGCCACGTTCTCCGCGTCCTGCATGGGCCCGACGAGGCCTCCTAGCAGTGCTCCGCCGCCGGGCTTCCGACTCTCCCAGGCCGCACCGCGCGCCGCGCCGGCTACAGCCGAGCCATGTGCGTGCGACCGGGCCGGCCGCACCGGGGCTGCGCGGGGGGAACACCCACGCCCTGGTCCCTCACGACGAGCCTGGAAGAGCTCAGATACGCAAAACTGCGTCTACGAGTGATCAAAATGACACTTTGGTGACAAGAAAGTGCGCAATTCCATTCACCAAAGTTCTTTTCGTCAGTCAATAAACTCACTAGGAGCAGCAACTACCCCATTTGTGGTGGGAGATGGTTCCGTCCAATATGGCCGCGGTCCCTTCCTCTCCCATCGGGCGATGCGGGGAAGGACTGAACTATTTGTGGCGCGAAGGCGCGTACCAGAAATCATCTTGGTATGCAAGAGAACATAATCTAACTGAGAAGTTAATACCATAGAAAAACGTAAGCTCAACAAACGATTGCTTGCGCCACCTCAGCCTTCAACCAGACCAACGGTTTACCTCACATCGGTAAATCCCCCCCGTACATGTCGGGTTTTTAGACTCGTCTACTGACTGGGCAAAAGAACAGACGAGTCCAAAATATAAAGGAATTCGCGGTGAGCCAGAGACGGCCAACACTCCTAGAAAGACGACCGCCTTCCGCAGTACAAAAATGTATAACAGTTGCTTTAATCAGTCACGCCCAACCGCACCGTACGTAGTGGCCGTGACCCTGCCTTTGCCCCCGTCTAATGGTCACTATGGTTTGGCCCGCCCGAGAGGTCCTCCCTCCGACCTGGAGCGCGGGGGTCACGTGGGTGGGGCGGGGCCTGGCGGCGCGCGGGAGTCGCCGGGAGAGCTCGGACTGTGGCCGGCCGGCAGTGCTCCAGCTGGTGGGAGGGCGTTTGGGATTTGCGTCTGGTTTGTTGCGGGGCTCCCGGGCAACCTGAAAAAGAACCGGGGTCTGGGGATTATTTTGTTACCAGACCAATACAGTAGGTAGGTATGTTAAACACATGGGAAAAGATATGGAAGAGATCTTTTCACACACTGAATTATGGAATCTAGGTGGTGGGTTTGTAGCTGTTCACTAGAAAATTCTTACAATTTTTCTGTATGTGTGAAAGTTTTTATAATAAATTGTTGCCAGGTGCGATGAATCACACCTGTAATCCTAGCACTTTGGGAGGCTAAGGTAGGAGGATTGCTTGAGGCCATGAGTTGAAGACTAGCCTGGGCAACCTTGCAAGACCCCGTAGCTACAAAAAGTTTTAAAAATTAGCTGAGGCCCAGAGTTGCGGCTCATGCCTGTAATCCTAGCACTGGGAGGCCAAGTCAGGAGGATCACTTGAGGTCAGGATTTCCAGACCAGCCTGAGCAAGAGTGAGACCTAGTGTCTACTAAAATTAGAAAAATTAGCCAGGCACATGTCTGTAGTCCCAGCTACTTGGGTGGCTGAGGCAGGAGGATCACTTGAGCCCAGGAGTTTGAGGTTGCTTTGAGCTAGACTGATGCCATGACATTGTAGCCTGGGCGACAGAGCAAGACTCTGTCTCAAAAAAAAAAAAACCAAACAAAAACAAAAATAGGAACTGACAAATGCTAACAGAGATGCATATGAAGAGGAACTCATTCATTGCTGGTGGGAATGCAAAATGGTACAGCTACTTTGGGAGACACTTTGGCACTTTCTTACAAAGCAACGATAGCGTTACCATACAATCTAGCAGGGATCAGGGAGGGATGGGTCAGTATAAAAAATTTTAAAAAGAAA